ATGTAATGATGATGGTGTTACAATGTAATGATGATGGTGTTACAATGTAGTGATGATGGTGTTACAATGTAATGATGATGGTGTTACAATGTAATAACGGGACTGATGCTACGATGTAAGGTGACAGTGTTATGGCGGGCAGAGAAAAAAACGTTTAAGGTGGTGGCCTCCGGTTCTATAGGGCAAGCAACCTTTCAGAATCCACGAGTTGTCAGGATCCTGAGCAGTACCCAAAATAATCTCCATTGTTATTTGAAAAGGCGTTGAAGGGCTGCTTGCTGCCACGAGTTCATTCCGACTCAGAGCACCTCAGCGACCCCAGGGTTAGAGTGCACCCGCCTCACCGGGCTTTCTGGGCTGTTCGCTGCTGTCTGGTGCTATTGAGTTGAGCCCCCACAGGGACCCCTGCACAGCAGGGCGAAGCACCACCCCACCCTGCGCCATCCTCACAATTGCCCCTACGTCTGAGCCCCCTGTGGCGGCCACGGTGTTGCCAGTGCAGCACCCTGCTGCTGCTCAGGAGGGTGCCAGGTCTGAAAGGCTCCCACGCGGTCCACGAGGCATGCGGCGACTCATCCCACTCAAGCGGGTGGCCAATTCCTTCACTGCGGTCTGTTCTTAGCCTGGATGCTCCCCTGAAACCCGTCCGCACTGGGGGACCCTGCTGGCATTTGAAATACCAGCAACACAGCTTCCAGCATCATAGCCACACGCAAGCCACCACGGTGGGACACGTGACAGAGGAGGGCTAGTGCTTGGCTGTAAGGTTAACTTTATCTCATGCGCTTTGGACAGATCACCGGGACCCCTGGAGAAGGACATCAAGCTGGGTAAAGCAGAGGGTCTGAGGAAGGGAGGGAGACCTTCAATGCGATGGATGTGGACGCAGCAATGGGCTTAAGCAGAACAGAGGGTGGTGTGCCTGTCTGTCTGTTGCCCACGGGGCTGTGAGGGGTCTGGACAGACTCAGTGATGCTCAACACTAACAGCCACAGCAGGTTAATGGAAGAAGGTCTGGTGGCGCAGAGATGAAGTACTCCGTGGCTAGCGGAGAGACGGGGTTTGAAGCCACAGCAGTTTTAGAGACCCAGAGGGCAGTTCTGCTCTGTCCCACAGGGGCACATGAGTTGTAATCGACCGGTGGGCAGTGGGTTAAATCCTAACAGTGGCAGGGCGCCAGGCCTTCTGCTGCCTGGGTTCCAACAGCCAGCCTCACGTCAGCTCAGCCGTGGGGACCGACTGTCCGGGTCACTAGGGTCCATTCCGGCTCCCAGAGCTGACCTTCCCTGCCCCTTGGCTCCCCTTTGAGGCCATCATGGTGGCTGTGTCCTCCTTACCCCAGCCACCCAGCCTTTCTGTCTCCTCTCCCACCTGGTAGGGAAGGGGTCCTGGTGAAGCCCTGGGTTAAGGATTAAACTGCCAAGGCAAGGTCGGCAGTTCCAACCCACCAGCTGCTTGGTGGAGAAAGATGAGGCTGCTGCCCCTGCAAAGATTTACCACTTTTGCACATTTAATAGACTATCGTCGAGTGCCGCACAAGACCCTGTAAAGTGTTTCAAAGCAAGGGTGTTCCTTTGAGGACCGAGGTGAACCTGACCCAAGCCAGG